GGTGGGCGAGGCGGGGAGGGACAGACGCCTTTCCTGGAGGGGACAGAGCTCAGGTTAGTGCTGGCACCGCTCAGAGGGACAAAGGGTACAGAGCAGAGGAATGGGTGCAGGATTGGTGTCAGGGCAAGCTCTGTGCTGGCTCAGCCCTACAGAAACTGGGGATGCATCTTCCTGCATTGCACCCTCCTGCAAGGGCTCCCCAAAAATGCGTTTGCCTCCACGTGCCATCACCAGTCTAAGAAGGCAGGCTGAGCCTGCAATTAATCCTCCTTGCCCAAAATATGACCCAGGACCTCTCACTACCTGCAGCTTCCTAAAGCCTCGCTCCCGGTGATGCATGGAGACCCACCTCCTTGTGCCACTCTGGGGATCCATCAATCAGCAGCTGCTCCTGCACCAGCAGGAAGGAGAAGAGCCAGGTCTGACAACACAGAGTGTATTCAGAAAAAGGGGAAAATAAAAGAAAAACGCAGAAGAAATAAAAGCACAGTCGAAAGGCAACTTGTTACCATGAGGAGAGAGGTGGGAGCAAGAGATGGGCCAAGGTATCACTGGACCACAGGCATTAGGCTGAGCATTGCCCAGCTGGCCCTGCCCTGCACATCCCTCACTCCCGGCTGTGCCAAGCAGCACCACTCATCCCCAGCTCCGGCATCGAGCATGGGAGTGACAGGGTCCCTGCAGTGTCCCCAGCACCGTGGAGCTCTGCCGTTCCCCTGGAGATGTGGCTCTCCTCCGTGGCATGGAAGCAAACGAGGACAGATCCTGAAGAAGCAGCAGAAGAGACAGGAGCAGGCACAGTGTGTGGAAAGGCAGTATGTCCCCTCCAATTTGCTTTGGTAGGAGGCTGAGAGGAGCCGGCAGGACAGAGGGGCTGCAGGTGAGCAGGCAGAGCAGGCAGCTGCTGGCCATAAGTGCTGAAAAGGCAGGAGGTGAGGAAAGAACAGAGCCAGAGATGTGATGCTCCATACAGTTCCCAGGAGAGAGAAGAGAGAAAGTGCCGTCAGTCCCACAGGATGGGCAGGCTCCCAATGGTTCTTTGGGATCCTCCAAGCTCTGCGCCCCTGACTTCGGCTGCCTCCCCAGGACCCCTCTGCTCAGCAGCGCCTATCTCACCCACGATTCCGGCACTGAAGCCTCCCACCTACTTCTTCTTTTCTATTTCCTTGTCCTTTTCCCCCCTTTTTTGTGGTTGCCTTAGCTTTCGGCACACCCATGAGCAGTTAGGGAGGACTTGGCCAACGGAGGGAAGCCTAAAACCCTCATGTTTTCCTCTCCGCCACTGCTACTTGTAGTAAAAAGAAGGTTTCCACACCTGTGGCTCAATGCCGGCGTTCCTGGTGGAGTAGGAGGGCCGGGGCGCCTGGAAGCCCCCCTTGGCTCGGGGCGGCAGCAGGCGGCACGGGGAGGCCAGCAGCAAAACAGCAGCACCTCGGCTGGGGCGCCAGGACCAGCACGGCTGTCGTGAGTCAGGGGCAGAGCCCCGGTGGTGCTGGGGAAGGGGCTGGAGGTGGTCTGGCTGGCATTGGGCATGGTTGGGGGATTCCAAACAGGTGAAGGAGGCAATGGAGAGGTCGGGCAGGAGGTTTGCTGGGGGTAGGGGTAGGCATTGGGAAGAGAAGGTCTGGGTGGAGGCATCTCCTGGGGCATGGACCTCACTGGCCCCTTGGATGGGGAGAGGATGAAGAGTGAAGACTGGAGCTGGTACGGCTGGTGCTTGGAGATCTCTAGCTCCTTCTGGGAGACCTCATTCTCCATCAGGTTGCCACTATACAAAGATGCTGGAGGAGTTTTGGAGGGCCTGGAGGGACTCTTGGAGAGGTGTCTGGAGACCATGGGTGACAGGCAAGCGTTGGTGTCATACTTCCAGGAGGGAGGCAGGGACATGGTGGGTGATGGGGACCGCAGCAGCTCAGGTTGGGAAGGAGCCTCGATGATGAATTTCTCCATCCTGGACTGCCGGCGGGCAAAGAGCTCAGCCCCCTTCCCTCTTGCTTCGCTGAGGTTGTGGCTGGGTTGTGGCTTCGGCTTGGGCTGGATGGTGGGGGACTTGAGGCAGGAGGACCACGCTGGAGCATCAAAAAAAAATGCCGTTGGGAGGTGCTGCCTGCTCCTGGCTGTGCTGTTGGAGATGAAGTTGGCAGCTTCGGCCCCGAGGGCGAAGGGCTCATCCTCAGCACTGGGCTCCCCCTGTTCCTTCTGCTTCTTCCTGCTGTCCACGCTCTGGACCAGGTCCAGCAGATCAGGGTTGGGGCCCAGCTTTGGCTTCTCAACAAAGGTGAACATGGACTTTTTGCTGGCTCTCCGGGCGGCTGACTCCTCCAGGATCCCCGTTTTGGGCAGGGGGTTCGGTCCAGTCACTCCACAGCTCAGGAGGGGACCTGGCAGCATCTTCTGCTCCCGGTG